AAGAAGAAGAAGAAGAAGAAGAAGAAGAAGAAGAAGAAGAAGAAGAAACAGCTTTATTGATCGTATCAAATATACAAAACTGATACCAAAAATACAGTGAAAGCATAGGACATATTGGAAAGAAGCAATCCAAAGGAGCTCATGGCCCTATAATAGCATTTTGGCTAAAAGTAAAAGAAGACAATTCACAAAGCTAAGGCCTCTTTCCCTCGCCCCAGTTTTAGGGTCAATGATAAAAAAAACCCCAAAAGAACCACAACTCCCCATTCAGCTGATACATTCCTAGAGAGTCCCTCTCTCTTGTGGCGAGGCATTGCTCAGAACTGAGCCTGTTTCTTACCACCCCACTTTGCCGTGGCTACTTTATGGGTACCTCCAGGCATTGCTACAGCAATCAATAGTCATCTGCAAGACTCTGGGAAGAGCATCCCTTAATCCAATTGAGGAGGAAAGCCGGAAGCCATCCGATCCTTCTCTCTGCCCTCTTCCAAGGTGATCCTTTCCTGGCGAGCAATTTTGCTAGGCTGCCTCTTCCCAAAGGATATATTTGTTGTGGTCCGTCAGCGGCAACAGAGTCGGACAGTGGAGGAGGAACATGGGCCAGTCTGGGAGTTGGGGAAGGACTCGGACGAGGGTCCTGCATCCGATACAGAGATGGGGCCAGGGCCACCTGGGAGTTACATGCTGACTCTAGAGCCTCCAGAATCTGACAGCAGCAAGGCAGAGGAACAAAGGGTCGCCTGTTCCCAGTGCACGCATGCACAGAGCTGCCAGAAGGCAAGAACAGTTAAGACAAAAGGGGTGACTCGGGAGTAAGGCTTGGAGGTGATTGGCTTCTTCCATAAGACATAAAGGAGGAGCAAAGGGACAGGAATCTTTGCAGGAAGCAACTTTGTTCATACTGGTCAGTTTGAAACCTGAAGCTCGGTGTTGAATTTGTGTTCCGTTTGGCCTCATATAATTAATTGGACATTTAGTCGTTGGCAACATTTCAAGGAAGATAAAGGTGTGTGCTTGTCAGACTTATCCTGAAGGATTTTGGCAGACTTCCATGGGACTATTTACAAACTGTTGGAGATTCATTATAGGCTGTGAATGACTAAAATTCACATAATAAATAAAGAAAAAATGGTTTCGGGACTAATGTGCGTTTATTAGTGTCTCCAATAAGCCTTGGTCAGAACAATATTGATCTGAAGGAACCACGTTAGTCCTTTCACACAGGTGAGTGGAGGATGCCTCCAGAGGCAGCTGGAAGCAGGCCAAAGGTCACCTGAAACCCATACCTTTTCTGGATGGACAATCTGGGACCCTTGACTTGGCTGTGCAGGGTTAGCTGGCTTCCTGCTCCAGATTTAGAACTCAAAACAAATCCGATTTTGTTGAGGGCTGCATCAGGGTTGGGTTTGATCTTGGGGGGGTGGGGGTGGGATGGGCACAGCTGGGGTGGGGGTGGCCAGCTCGATGTTCCTTGTGTCGGGGGCACCTGTGGTGGCCAAGTGCTAAGGCAGGACTTCCTTCAGAGTGCAAATTCAGTACACGTGGAGATCCCAGTCACCAACCTTTCGGACCTCAGGGGTGACTAAATTTATAATTTTAAATCCCATGGACCACTAATTTGATCTGCCTAATGATCGACTGGGATGCATGGCCAACTCGATGTCGCTCATGTTGAGGGGCACCTCGCCAGCCATTACTCGCCCCTCTCCTCCCAGCTCCTCCTCCCCCGCCCACCCAGGCTCCTTAGGGGCCCCACATGAAGCAGTGGTTGAAACTAAGCCGCCCCCATGAGAAAGAGCTGGCAAAACAGCCGGCTCAGTTAAAATTGGATCTGACCGGGAAGAAGGCTCAGCAGAAGCACCTCACTGAGGACAAGAAGCACGGGCTTTCGAAGCAGAGGGAAGACCTTGCAGGAGTGCAAGGCCAGGTCCTGGAACCTCAGTGGGCTGAGATAGTTAGCCAGTTCCAAGCCACGATACAGTCCCACTGGAACGAGGCCCTCTGGCTCTTTGCCACCAGTGGGCCTTCCATCCAGCCTTCGCCCAACAGCAGGAGCTGAAGCAGACCCCAAATGGGAATTTCTGGCCCCCTCTGACCCCCAAAAAAGACCCCCAAAGAGAAGACTCTTTGCAGCAACACAAACGTTCGTTGCACATATTCGGCCCAGGGGCTGTAGTTTGAGTATAATATAAACAACGCAAATAATCTTTCTGTGGAGCACCAAAATTTTCTCGTGGACCACCAGCGGTCCAGGGAGTTGGTGATCACTGCTTCAGAGGGAAGGTTTAGACTAGAGCGGTGATGGCGAACCTATGGCACTCATGCCACAGGTGGCACGCAGAGCCATTCGTGCCGGCATGCGAGCTGCAGGCAAACTTACCTCACTGCGCATGTGTGGGTCTCACAGCTGATTTTTGGTGGGTTTGAGGCCTTTTTCGGCCTCCCAAAGGCTTGAGGAAGGCTTCTGCAGGCCGAAAACTAGCCCCATTTCATCACTTCCTGTTTTTCCAAAAATACCAGAAGTAATGAAATGGGTAGTTTTTCAGCCTGCAAAGCCTGCAGAAGCCTTCCTCAAGCCTCTGGGAGGCCGAAAAAGGCCTCAAATCCATCAAAAATCAGCTGTGAGGCACAGTGCAGGTAAGGGGGCAGCAAAGGGTGGAAGGGTGGATTGCATGTGAATGCATAGGGTGTGTGTGGGGGGGTGCGCATTGTCTTCTGCGTGCTGGCCCGCGAGTGTGAGCATGCAAGCGCGTGCACAATTTTTGGCACAGGAGCCCAAAAAGGTCAGCCACCACTGGACTAGAGGATGGGATTCCAGGTAGCCCTCGATTTACAGCAGTTTGTTTAGTGACTATTCAAAGTTACAAGGGCACTGGGGAAAAAAGCAACATGACCCCTTTTCACACTTATGACCTTTTTGAGCATCCCCAGGGTCAGGTGAGTAAGTTGGCAAGCATGGCAGGAAAGGTCCTAAAATGGAGCAAAAACCATTTCACAAATGTCTCACTTAACAACCAAAATGTTGGACTCCATTGTGGTTGTAAGTCGAGGATTACCCGCAGAAGGAGGAGTGGCAGGAACCTTGGGTGGAATCAAATAGAGGAATCAGCCTAGAATCTCTATGTGGTCACAAAGGGACCAGATCCAATCCATCTTCAATTCCAGCGACCCTTATCTAATGGCAAGATAGTACCGTTATTTGAGTAGATTCCCATGCATGGGCACATTTACTAATCGGCTGATTTAATTGGACCTTCACCCGTGGACCTGATCTTTCATGCCAGACAAATACCCTGTTTCCCCCAAAATATGACCTACTCCGAAAGTAAGTCCTAGCTTGATTTTTACACGTGCACCCAATATAGGCCCTACCCCCAAAATAAGCCCTAATTAAGATCCCACTTACTCCAGATTGCACAGGTAAAAATTAAGCTAGGTTGGGAATGGGGGGTGGGTGGAGCTGCCCTACTACTTACCTTTGGACAGGTGTAGCCAAGCCTTGCACACCCCGACACCTGCCTTGCCGGCCCATTTCTTTTGCAGCCAGCAAGGCTGGCAAGGCTTTCCTGAAGGCCTCTGGAGCTGATAAGCAAGCTCTGGATCGATCCTGAGCTCTGTTATCGTCTGCAGAGGCCTTCAGGAAAGCCTTGCCAACTGCAGAAGAAGTTCCTGAAGGCCTCTGACAATGAAAAGGAGGCTGGGGGTGATGCACACAAGTGAGGTTAGTCAATGGATGGCATTCCCCCGAAAATAAGACCTGGTGCCTTTTTTGGTAGCAAAAAATATATAAGACAGGGTCTTATTTTCAGGGAAACACAGTATTTCTTTAAAATGACCAATCTATGACTGTGATAATCAGTAATATTAATGATAGGATCTTTTCTGCAATGGCCTTACTTTTTTTAAATCCTTTCTCACAAGAAACATACCTGACCTCTTCCTGAGTATCCTTTAGGCTGGTTTTAAATGTCACAATTATTTTTCCATTCTCCCTGATAGCTTTATTTGATTTCTTTTTTTACAATTGCTCCTACAATACAGCAAGCAGTTTTTTGGTGCTTTGTAATCATTAACGTACTAGTTACATTTGTAATATTGTGTATTTTAATAACGCACTGTGTTATGGTGATTAACTTTATAATGTGAATATTAAATACAGAAGATGAACAAGGTAAATTAAAATAGCATTTGCTTGGTCTTTATAATTATACAGAGTCCTTGGACATTTTCACATTAATAATACGGTTCCCTAATCTATTATTTATTTATTTTTATTGTCTTTATAAATAATAACATGGCGATGTTGGCATTAAGCTCAATAGGTTTTTTTCCGTATCATAAAATAACATACCGTACTTTGCTTGATAGGGTCAATCTTGATTTGTTATTTTAATATTGTATTGCACATTAACTGCGTAATTTTAGTAATTTTTGTCCACTGGTTTATATTGTACCTTCTTTGTTTTAAATAAATAACTAGACCTTGGTATTTCGAAGATCTAAGCAGAGCAACAATGATGGAAATAAGGATATGGTTGATTGGGCAATGTTCAAAAAGCAGAGGAAAATTCATTTTGAAAACTAAGGTATGTTGCAAGCATGGGAAATGGCCAAATACTCCTAAGTGGTGCAGCCTTTTCCCCTCTCCAAAAAGTGGCATTTTCTGCAGGGTTCAAACCCTCCATTAGCGTTCTAGGCCGGAGCTCCCCAGCTACAGTACACTTGTAAAGGTAAAAAAAGAAAGCCATCCTTATTAAACCTGTTTAATTGATACCGAATTCCTAAGGAAATACAGGAAGATGTTGGACATTACGATTACTCCGCTCAGCCTTGAAATTTTTAATGGTTTTTAGGCTTAGCGTTCCAAACAAGCTTCATTTTAGTCAACCTTGGGGCAGAGGACAAATTTAAGAAGACTAAAAAAAGATAATTGTCTATGGCCCTTTGTCCCAAAGGTGATATTTTTTTTGTCAAAAGGCAACTGGACTTTCTTGTTTTGCTGGAAGGCCTTTTCCTTCTCACCCAAGAAGCTTCTTTAGTTCTGAGTGAATGGTGGAGGATGGAAGGATTTAAACTCCTTGCAGTCATCTGGTTGTTAGCCCTCTTTCCAGAGGTGGGCTGCTGCCGGTTCGGACCAGTTTGCCCATACCGGTAGTTCCAACCACCGGCTGGGCCTATTCACCCGCCCTGGTGCTATCCCATCCTATATATCTCACTCTCTGGCTCGCTCGTCCCACTCACGCAGACCAGCTGTTTTCTGTGCCTCGCCAGCTCTACTCACCGCAGATGCCTGAGAAGGTGTTCTGGAAGCTGCGTGCCTAATATTGCTGTGTATTTGAAGTCTCACGCAAGCACTGAGCTCACATTCCGTGCTAGGTTAACCAGTTGTTAAATTATACGAAGCCCACCTCTGCCTCTTTCCTTTCATTCCCTGCCATTCAGTCAGAACCAAAGAAGCTTCTTGGAGGAGAAGTGAAACATCTTCTAGCAAAACCAGAAAGTCCCGTTGCCTTTGGGAGTAAGGAAGGATAAGGTCCAGGGGAAGGATTCAATTTTTTTAACAACCAGTTCTATGGGCATGGTTTAGTTGGTGGGCATGGCTTGGTGGTCATGTGACTGGCTGGGCGTGGACAACTCAACATCACTCGCATCGAGGCACACATCTCCTCGCCTGGCTTCTCGTGACTTTGGGGATGCTGCAATAGTCGTAAGTGTGAAAAATGGTTATAAGTCACTTTTTTCAGTGCCATTATAACTTTGAATGGTCACTCCACAAAAGCAAAGTACCAGCAAAGGAGAGGAAAAAAACTCCAGAGACATTCCAGAGACAGGAAGTCTAGTCCTGCCAAGAATGTAAAAAGGGTTAACGGAGAGGCAGTTTCCATAAGCAACACCAGAATGTTTCCTTCCTGCCTTCCTTACAGGATTAGGCCATTAATTTCCTCTAACAACCGGTTCTCAGAACTGCTTAGAATGTTACCAACCAGTTCTAGTGAATAGGTGCGAACCTGTAGAATCTCACCCCTGATAAGGTCTCAGTGGGTAATGCGTGGCAGTTAAAAAACCAATCTCTTATGTCCAGCAGAATTTTGCAAGGCACCCTGCGCTTTCCAAGGCTGCATAATTCTAGTTTTGAAGCCAAGGTGCAAAGCTGCTAATATTTAATTCATGAGGAGTTCCCCAGTAATTTTAACCCCAAATACCTGCTGCTTACATTTCAGTCTAAAACTGCATTGGTTTGGAAGGAGATGAGGACCAATGCCTTGTCTGCCTGAGGTATGAATGAAATCCAGACCGCACCCAGTGTCTGCCTCTTTGCAGGAAACTGTTGAAATCATGAGCAGGAATTCCTCTTCAATTAAGGGGGGCAGCCTGTCAAACCTGGAGTGTCAGCTTTGGAAGCCATATTAAGATCCGATGCTCCCACACGGCCACAATTGAGCCTGAGAAAGTGGGAGGGCGGGAATTCATTTGAGTACATCTAGTTAGACAAAATAAAACTCTTTTGCTGGTTCAAGGTCACGTAGTGTTGCACATAGTGAAAAGGAAGTCTTACTTTGGGATGGATGGTAATTGGGCCATGTGATGTGGTGATGGGTATGGGGGATGGATTTTGCAGTTTTTACCTTTGCAAGGAAGCCCGAAACTTTCAGATTCTGGATTCCACAGATGTACCAGTTACTATCCAAATAAA